TAAGAGAGAGAGAGAGAGAGAGAGAGAGAGAGAGAGAGAGAGAGATCTACACAGAATTTTCCTCATCAAGTACAACTAGTAACAAAATCAATAATCATCTTCCATCCCCATGGCATTTCACAAAATAAAGATGACTCCAGTGTCAGAAAGAGAAGGAAAGGCTTACTTTCAAAGTAGTTTAAACTGAATAACTATGGAAGGAAATGAAAACCTATCAACAGTGCTCTGCCTCCCACCCACACAAGCCAGTGTCAGGGAATTACAAACCCGAGTCCCCCAAATTCAGTGAAAAGTCACTTCGGTAATGGCTGAAGCTCCAAAGTGGAGAATTCAGAACGTTGTCCACACTCCATCACACTGCTGGCTGCAGCCCCAGCTCTTACAAAGTAAGGCTAAGCTAGTAGCCATGTTGAAGAGCCAAAGAGAAGATGTGGGGTGCTTCCAGCAAGCCTAGTGATGGTGCCACCTTCTTCTCGGAAGCCAAGAATCATCCCCCTGCCTCCAACTGGCACTTTCTGTACAGGAGTATTTAGCAGTTCAGGGGAACAGGCCCTTCCTGGTCCAGCCTCAGCTCTTTTCCCAGGTACAACTGAGAACCACTGCCCCCTCCCCCCAACTTCAGCCTCTCTAACTAACATCAGAGTGTCTACCCTGGTTCTCTCCTATGAATGGGTGCCCAGGGGAATCCTGAGGATGACCAGACACCCTCCAGTGACCACAGGATGCAATAAGCAACCCCCAAGATTTTCCAGGATGTTCTATGTCTCTTCCCTACCCCCATCCCACAGGAGAGAAGATCCACCTTTTAAATGATGCCTTAGCTTATGCAAATGTCCATTCCCAAAGGAAGCCAGCGCCCTTGTGCCTATGGTTACGAAAACACCATGGCAGTCTTTGAGAGCAGAGGCCCAGATATTCCCTCTTGGTGGACAGCATCTGAATGTGAATATCTAAATTCTGAGACGACTGTGGTAATTTTTTTTATGATTTCTATTTCCTCCTGTCAGTGGGGAGGGGTCTTTAATTGCTTAATCTAGAAAGTAGAAGCTGTAGGCGTTGTTCTTTGAGGTGTTAGAAAATAACCCAGCGATCAAGTAGAGACTGAACTGCAATGGCTGAAGGAAGAGAGGTGGGAGGAATCAGGCTGAAGCCAACATTGTAGCAAGACTGAAGAAGGTAAGCTCGGGGCACAGGGACTTGGGAGTCCCCAGCGCCAGACAGCTCTCCTTCATCCCGAGCTGCCTTTTGCTCCAGAGCTGCCAACACGGTTTCCCCAAATGCATCCTGTCTTCATCATCTGGTCTGCCACAGGCCCTCTCACCAGCACCGTAACTGGGCTGGGGAAAAGGAATTCATATGGCTGTGATGACCAGCCCACCTTCCCCCAGTGTTCTGACTGCTGCAGGAGACAGTCTCCCAGGCCCGCGCTGGCATGTGTGTGAATACTGAAGCCTCTGAGTTTGTTGCAAGAAGCCTTGGGAGGAACTCATGCCGCACAGGTAGGGTGGACCTGGGTCTGAAGTAGTGAACAGGAGAAAGGAGGGGAGGGAGGGAAGAAAGCAGGGGAGGAGTGTGTTCTGAGCTCGCTCGTTCTGTCAAAAGTTTACAGAATCTCCCGTGTGTGAAGCACAGATACATCGTGGAGATACGAGGCAAACCTCGGGACCTTCCTAGCTTTCCCTTCCTCTCAAACAAAACCCGATCACAGTGGAGAAAGCACCTATGTTCATCAGTCATTCATCTCGCGTTATCTTACTGTAGACAATGGGGCTTTTACACTAGAACCCGTTTCCAGTTTGAGAGACTTCAATCCCACGTTGAAGGAGTGTGAGCACACACCGGTCTGATGGAGCCGTTTCTGGCAAGCTGGCGGGGGCTTCTCAGCTCTGAAGCGCTTCAGTCATGTGAGAATCTGCACCCCTGAGTGGAGAAGAGATGAGGGAACCCCCGGGGTTTAGAGAGACGTTAGAAGAGGCGGTTGAGCTGGATTGCCGGCACTTGGGTTATATACAAGCACACCTTCTGTTACCGCGATGAAATAGCTGCAAGCGTCTAGTTTATAGAGGGGCCGTGTTTGTTTAGCTCAATTGAGAAGGTACAAGGGTCTGAAGCGTTAGTGATCCCGTGTGGGCGAAGTCCCAGATCGGCACCGGGAATTGCTCAGGCGTGTCTGGCCTCTCCTCTTTTTCTGAGAAATGCACGGAGACCCAATCACAGATACACCATGCAAACTACCTCTTCTAATGTAGCCACCACCCCAAGGCGCCACCGCGCACACCACAGTCAGGTTAAGGTGCCACGCTCCCAACCTTACCAGGGACCCTGGGGACACATTCAGCCGAATCCAAGCCGAAGCTCTGCCACAACCGTTTCAATGTGGGTTCAATGTGTGTGTGTGTGTGTGTGTGTGTGTGTGTGTGTCTGTCTGTCTGTCTGTCTGTCTGTCTGTGTCTGTGTGTCTGTGTGTGTGTGTGGAGATGGGGAGGGTGAGTTTGCAGGATAGAAGATCACGTGACATGCTGCGGAAGCTGAGGCTCCTTAGTGAACAAAGCTCATGAAATCTCAGATGCCTGAAGCAGCATTGACCTGCAGGTGAAAACCCCGAGCTCTTATAAACTAATTGACTCACCCCCCCCCCCAAGCCTAAGTTTTCTAATCTGTAAGATGGGACTAATGATCAGTGTGTGGAGTTATGGTGTTGCTTCAGCCTGATAAGAAGAGTTAAAAAGACACACACACAAGTGAGTAAGGATAGATCATTGTCATCCCAACAAGCAAACAACAGCACTTACCAAACACCCAGAATATGCTGGACATCCGCCCAGTGAAGTCCACACCTGCTCTCCTTTAACCCTTTGGAAACCCCTGTGAGGGAGCTAATATTATTACCCTCATTTTGTAGATAAGAAAACAGAAATACAGAGAGGTTAATAACTCACGTTAGGTCACACAGCTAGAGAAAGGCTGGATTTGAAAATGACACACCATTCAATAAACTATGGTTTGTGTTTGTTTATTCTTAAATGTCGCTGTTCCCTGGTTTAAATAGGAAGGGTAATTATTAGAATGACAAGTTATTAGCCCCGGGTGGTGACACTTGCCTGCAACCCCAGCAATCAGGGCCTCGAGGCAGGAAGATTGCAAATTCACAGTGAGAACCTATATCACACGATGAGTCTCTGTCTTAGAAAACAGAGCAAGAAAAAAAAACATACTGTCCTGTATCCTGCGGGATATGAACGGGGTCCCTGATAAACCTAGAGGAGGAAGAGGAATGGAGGGGACAAGAGACACGAGAAGACGACAGCAAGGCAGGATTTCTGATCAAGCCGTGCTTTATTAATTCTCAGAAGCTGTTATATAGCAAACGGGCAAGGGGGAGGGGAGGGTGTCAGGTCTGCTGTAATTCAGGTCCTGAGACGTCCCTAGCTGGTAAGGAAATCCTGAGGGTCTGTGACTGTTCACTAACAAAGGAAATGCTAATTGATTCTTAAGCCTGGTGCCTGCAGGTCTCACTAGGCTAATGTCCTAGGTCCGGAACTTGCCCTGCAAAGGTGGGTATCTGACTTGTGAACTTAAGATGTCTGTAAACAAAATGCAGATCTCAAAATACAGGTCTTTGCTTCCTGCAGTCCTGTACCACTTCTTTGAGTTTATGTGTGAGAGCTGTAAGTGTATATGTCATATTCCCCTCCACTGAGAGCCAGACTGGAGAGGGACACTGAGTACCGAGTACAGGAAGGACAGGAATGGGTCACCTTGGCTTCACCATCCTTTCTAACTGTCGTCAATACTAGGTGCCTGGTCTTGAACAGCCATGACGATGGAGGTGCTCCCCAAGGCCCTGGAGGTAGACGAGAAGTCTCCGGAGTCCAAGGACCTCCTGCCCAGCCAGACAGCCAGCTCCCTGTGCATCAGCTCCAGAAGCGAGTCCGTCTGGACCACCACCCCCAGGAGCAACTGGGAAATCTACCACAAGCCCATCATCATCATGTCAGTGGGCGCTGCCATTCTGCTCTTTGGTGTGGCCATCACCTGCGTGGCCTACATCTTGAACGAGAAGCAAACGGTTGTGCCAGTCCTCAAGATGATAGGGCCTGCCTTCCTGTCCTTGGGACTCATGATGCTGGTGTGTGGGCTGGTGTGGGTGCCCATCATCAAAAAGAAGCAGAAACAAAGGCAGAAGTCCAGCTTCTTCCAAAGCCTCAAGTTCTTCCTTCTGAACCGCTGAAGGCAATCTGACCAGAAGATCTGCTGACCAGCCTGCTAACCTCCTCTGTGGGGTACCACCAAGCTGATTCAGGCAAACCCTCCTGGGACAGAGATCAGGGCTTCACCCTCACACAATCTCGCAGTGTTGCTGGCTGCGTTTCACCTGGTTTCTCCATCGCTGCTGATGCTCCCTTGGATAGTCTCAATATTCGCATCCCTGGCACCTGCCTTTAGCCATCATTCATCCCACTTTCTCTGCCAAGGGCAGTGCATGCTGGGAAATTCTTCGGGGGTTGACTATGCTCCCAAGAAGAACTTCTTGTTGTAATTGCGTGTCTGAGCTGGATTCCACATCTGCATCCTTCTGGAACTAAAACTGATCAAGGATGGAAGGGTAACCTCAGACCCACTGGGTTTGACAGTCTTGACGCCCTCCTTGGGTGAGACATTGGCTAGCATTACAAGAGACAGGATAATTCTCATGTACCAAACATTCCAAAATTTGAACAGTGATGGGGGCTGTAGACGGGGGACACTGTCCAGGGCAGATCATTCCTCTGGGCATAGCTCTAATAGTCAGCTAGCCAAGGAAGTTCATTCCCGAATCCATAGTATTGACACCAGCGGCAATAGCACAGGCTAAGCGGTGTCTGTTTCCCATTGACCCTCCAATGCCCTTCTCACGGACTGCCTTCATCTTGGCAATTAGCCAAGAACATATGCTCCTTGGTCTAACTCCTTTCCCCCACCCCATCTCTGTCTCTATGCATTGCCAGAACAGAAGGAAGGAAGGGTCACAGGTGGGACCTTCCCCTTCCTCTCAATCATGACCCATCCTGAGATGGGACACCGTGTCTGAGTGTTCTATGGAATTCCAGAGATAGATTCACCAAAGAGGACCCCAACCTCTATCACCCCTGCTCCTCCCCACAAGCAAGAGAGTATTTATTGAGTTTCCTTCTCTGGTCCTAGGTTGGGAACAGCCAGACCCAGTCCCTGATCTCCTCTTCTTTCTAAAAGTGAGGGAGAGGCGGACATAGTCAAGCCAGTTGGCACCACCCCATGCAGAGCTCTTAGGGTGGCTATCGGAACACATGGGTCCAACATAAATTTAAAGGAAGGCAGAGAGGTTTCTGGAGACCATGCTTGTCCCTCCTAAAGACAAAGGGAAAATAAGTGTTGGGAAAGTCTAAGGCGCATAAGGAAGGAGCAACTTTTACCTTGCATGTGAAAAGGCTGGGCAAAGAGGCCTCATGGAGTTAGGATTCTGCATAGCTCCTGGATGCTGTTTCATCCCCTCTTGTCTATGTCCCTCCTGCTTTCCCAAGTGCCTTACATCCAGCTTCCCCTTGGTACACTGCAAGCTGCTGGGGTCTATAGAGACTGGGAGAGGCATCTCCAGGGGAACCCACCAAGTAGATCTAGCCCAAGAGGTAAGTGCCCTCAAAACTTCTTATAGACACCAAGAAGACATTAGGTGAAAAACCAGGTGCCCATAACAGATCCCCCAAGCTGTGCCAGGCCATATCAGAGACTAGGGGAAAGAACCTGATAACAGGGTGAGTGAAAAGACCTGCATTTGTTCCAGTTGCCTCCCTTCATCCCTAAACCTTCAGGCACTTGGGATCATCATGGCAACCTTCCACCAATGTCTCAGACTTTCACAGAACTTTCATAGGCAGAGTCAGAATTCATGTTTGTTCCTGTTGCGTTCTGGGGAAATCCATGGAGGCAGTATTTTTCTCATGCTCTCTCTCTCTCTCTCTCTCTCTCTCTCTCTCTCTCTCTCTCTCTCTCTNTCTCTCTCTCTCTCTCTCTCTCTCTCTCTCTCTCTCTCTCTCACACACACACACACACACACAGATTTAATTTAGTTAAATTATTAACTAAAGAGTCAGAATTTGGGGAACCTCTGGCCTTTCAAAGCTCACTTCAGATAGCCATGGCCTTCATTAAGACTCATACCAGTGAGCCCAGGTCCTCCAGTACACCCATCCCCAGCATGCAGGCAGGTCAGGACCAAATCTGGGGTTATTTCAATGTTGTCACTAATTTGAGTGTTAGTGCCTCTGAAACAGGGCTGACATGGAAGGTCAGCCCTCTGAGGAGGCCTCTCATTCCCTGGAGCTTTCATGAAAGGGAGCACGCAGATGAGCGCCCAGCCAGCTCACTTGGAGTCCATACCCCACTCACCCCATTCTCCCCAGAGCTCATTGTCTGTGCACAGCTCTGGGAGGAGGGTCTTTGCAAACATCACTATCATGTATGCCTCAATGGAAGGGAGTTCTGGGCTAATCCTGATGCCAGGAAATCTTCAAGTTGTAGATCTCTTCTGCAGCCACGTTAGTATCTGCCCATACCTCTGGCCCCGCAAGCTAAGTCTGTCTTCAGTAGACAGAAACAAAAATCTCAAATATTGGTTAGCTCCCCCTACTGGGCTCCCTGCACCAATGAGGACCAGGAAATGGGCTGGATCACCCTAAAAGCAGCACATCTTAGAGCTTTTTGCCAAAGACCATTGCCTCGTGAAAGCCTGAGGTGGGGACAATCTGTGAGTGAAGCCAGGCTGGATGCCACATTTCTGAACCTGGGCAATGACTTCAGTCCTCTCACTGGTCTGAGGGCAGGGCCAGCATCCGCAGCACCATCTCACCAGAATGTATTACCTGCTCCTCCTGTAGCTCTTCTGTTTTGGAGAATTTAATCTAATCTGAAGCCTAAAGGAATTACTGTCATGTCGAATTGTATTCTATTTAACAGTGTCTGCCGTGTTTATCCTGTTTCGCCAGGCATTTGAAGACAGTACCCACAAACCCCTCCTCCTCTAAAATGCTCCCCCATTACCATATTTCCTCTCCCAAGAAAGATGTCAGGGAGAAAGGAGACAGAGTGGCTCTCATGCATGCTTCCTCGGGTGCCTCTCTGAAACTGGTGGCTCTCCTCTGAGGTGATGGTGGTGCAGAGGATCCCACAAGCCCAGTATTGAGACCCAAAACTTGACCTGAAAAAATTACATTCTAGAGTGAATTTGTGGTCTAGACAAGGTATGTGGATACCAGGTCTTGGAGAGATGCTCCAAACACAAAGCAAAGTAGAAAAGGATCCACTGGGGGCTTGTTTTCATCTCCCACCCCAGAGGCCTGTCTGTGCTTAGCCTGTGTGGGGACAGCTGTTCATGCCTCAGACTTTCTCCCGAGACTCACAGGCAGCCTCAGAGAATCTGCTGGCCCAAGCAGGAACTGTCCCTCTGTAACTAGGTTCCTTAGGTCTCCAGCAAGGAACCTCATGTCTGAGGGACTATGCTCAGTTCTCCCGCAACATGCAGGTACATATAAGAGGGACAGACCCCCAGGCCTCCTCACAGTCCCGATCTTCCACTCTAAGGGAAAGACAGGTTCACTAAAGGGTACCCTAGAATGAGACAATCTTGCACTGTCCTGTGGGTTCCTCTGTAAAAGCCACTGAAATGACTGCAAAAAAAAAAGAAGGGAGAATCACTATCAACGGTCCTTATCGATCATGTTCTAAGTTGGGCTTGTCTTCAATAAATGACAAAATGCCAATGGGAACTGTGCTCTTTCCTGGGATGCGCGAGAAGTGTTTCTAGCCACAGCCACATCACTCACTCCTCGGACTCTGGTCCTCCTTTCCTCTGCTTCTTTCTTCACTCACCATTTCTAACTGACATTCCGATTGCCCAATTACCCAAGCCCACAGCAAACATCAGAACCTGGACGACATAATGAAGACAGAAGCTCTGACTTTCAGAAATCAATCCGGCTAATCCCCAGAGATGAGAGACAAGGGAATCTTCAGGTGTGATACAGTATGATCATGGTGGGGGAATCTTCAGGTGTGATACAGTATGATCATGGTAGGGGGAATCTTCAGGTGTGATGCAGTATGATCATGGTGGGGGAATCTTCAGGTGTGATGCAGTATGATCACGGTGGGGGAATCTTCAGGTGTGATACAGTATGATCACAGTGGGGGGAATCTTCAGGTGTGATGCAGTATGATCACGGTGGGGGGAATCTTCTAATGTAATGCAGTATGATCACGGTGGGGGAATTACAAATGCTCAGATGATGGTACTCATCAGAGTGTCTGCCTCTCCAGGCCTCTGGAATATATATGACAAGCTTTCACATCAGATTCAGAGGGAGGAGGCCCAGGCAAGAGAAAAGAGTGCTCATTGGCTAGTAGGAGAAGATAACCTCCACTTTGACCTCTGGGCCTACTCTATTCTGCAGTCTTGCTTTGAAACCCATTCATCCCAGCATTCAAATTGTGGCAGGTGCATGTTTGTAGAATATGCTTGGGAAAAAGGGCTCCCCACGCCTCTGCTTGTCTATACTGCCCGGAGATCCCATCTTCAACACATAGCACTGTAGTTCTGCTTTTTTTCTGGAACCTTCCCTTCCTTAATCCCCACCTTTTTCTTGCTCTAAACAGTTCTCTAGGGATAGAGAGATGGCTCCGTAGTTAAGAGCACCGGTTGCTCTTCAAAAGTCCAATCCCCAGTACCCTCCTGGTGACTCACAACCATCTATAACTCTAGTTCCAGGGGGATCCAGTGCTCTCTTCCAGCCTCTGTGGGCACTGTGAGCTGACACACATGCTGGCAAGACACCCATACAAATAAATAAAAAATAAATAAGTCTTAAAAATTAAGCAGGTCTCTGAAAACCATTTTCATGGCAATGGTTTTATTGTGGCTTTGTGAAAGGGTGCTTCCCCAAGCCGTCCCCACACATCCAATTTCTAATGGATGCTTGCTACTATTAGTGTTTAAATGTATTATCTTACAGCCCTGGAGGGCAGAAGTTCAAAACCCATCTCAGAGGGCTACAGCAAAGCATTGTCAGGACCACCATTCCTTCTGGAAGATTCAGGAAGGAACCCACCCTCTGCTTTATGCAGTTTGTATCGGCTGTCTGTGTTCCTACAGGTAGAGTCATTCTATCTGCAGAGAGAAGAAGTTGAAGGATTTGGCTTCATCTCATCTGTCCTGACCATCTTGTCTCCTCTCTTCCTTATAAAGTCTTTTGTTCTTGGCCTTATATGGGGCTCTTCTATTGAGACTTTATGTTAGAGCCACAGGGATAGCCTATCTCAAGTTCAAGTCTTGGTCTTAGTTGGCTAATACTTCTGTGACAAAATCCCACCGAGCCGATGGCTTAGACAACAAATGTCTGTTCTCATGGCTGTGGAAGCTGGAAGGTGGAGGTCAGGGTAACAGAATTGGATTCATTGAGGCCAGTGTCCTTGGCTGGCAGGTGCCATCTCCTCTATGTGTCTCCATGGGGGTCCCTTGTCCATGCAGGTCTGTGTCCTAATCTCTTCTTATAGGGCCACCAGCCATGTTTGACTAGGGCTATCCACATGACCTCCTTTAACATGGCTGCTTCTCTAAAGGCTTTGTCTCATATAGAGCCCCATCCTGAGGTCCTGGGACAGGGGTGTCAACATGTCCGTTAGGTAGGTGCAGTTCAACCTCTAAAGCTCTCAGTCACATCGGCAAAGTCCCCTTCTCCACGTGGAACAACCTACACCCAAGCTCCAGGGATTCCAATTAGACATCTTTGGGAGGGTTTGCCTTTCCCCTGGGGACTGGAAGGATGTCTCAGTGGTTAAGAGTGCTTACTGCTCTTTCTGAGGATCTAAACTCAGCTCCCAGTGCCCACATGAAGTAGGAAACAATCCCAACTGCCTGCAACTTCAGCTCCAAGAACTCTTAAAATCTCTTCTGGCCTCCTTGGGCACCCATATATAAGAGGCATATAT